TGGCAAGAGAATACTGTGTTGCCATGTTGCCAGGACTCAGGAGAGGATTCCCTGAACTGTAGCTCTTCAAGGACGACTTTACTCTTCAGATCAAGTCAAGTGGCAATTAAGAGTCTCTTAGGAGATCAAAGCTAAACCCAGGGGAACATACAGTCAGTGTCATGGACTGATGGTAAAAAGCTGTTACCCTGCGAAAATCGGTCAAGACGACAAGCATTGGTGTTTGGAAACCTTTCTGCATTATGTAACATAAAGCCTGCGGGGCTTAGTGAGAACAGGAGAAGGGGTTGGTTCTGACTGGCGCAGACCCCACCAGGGGACGCAGGGAGCTCTTTGCAGCGAGGTGATATTGGCAGAGCTGTTGGGGGGCCCCCGTGAATGCCAAATTGGCTATTTATCCTAGGTTTGCTGATTTGCTCACTTATCACTGTGTTCTAAGAAAGCCATCCGGGAAAATGAACTCTCAGGAATCAAATTATTGACCTGCGGTCTTGTGTTTTTTTTCTGTTGGGGTGAGATGCACCGATTTTGATCATGATTGGTGATAGTTTGTTATATTTAGACGGAGTCTCCCGGAACCTTGGCCTCTGTGTCGTGGCTGTCCTGGTGGCTTGGACGGTCCAACGGGAACAGACTCGAGGAATCCCGAATGCCCCTCCGTTCAGACCTTGGCTTTTCTCTTAAGGGTTTTCTGAAGTGCTTTCTGGATGCTTGCTTCTCAGACTGAAAGCTCCCCATTCTCCGCACAATCCAGCCAGGGTGTGAGAGGTTTCAGACCTGAGAACCGAGGTTTGACCTGCTCTTATGTGCAGCTGTAGCTTATTTACTTTGGTTTCTGTTTTGTATTCTAATGTGTGAACATTCCGCCGTTTATCTATTCTGCAGGTGATGGGATATTTGGGTTAGCTTCGTGACCCTTTTGAGCAGTGCTGCTAAGGCTGTTCTTAGTGTTGTTTGTGGAGAGAAAAGTGTGTGGTGGTGTTCCAGAATGCAGATAGTGATAAAGTCAACCACTCTGTCCACCACTTAGGTCAAGAGATAGGCTACTGCCTCTGCTAAGAAGACCTGCGTGAATCCGTTTTCCTTTGCGGTTCCCCCTGCGCCCCTCCCCCACCTGGTTGTAATAACTGTTCTAACAGTCCTTGTGTTTCTTTATGGTTTCATCATAAAAGCATGCATATTTCAGTTGGGGTTTCAGTAACTCTTTAATGAGTTTAGGAAAAATTATTTATTTTGCCTTGGTTCCTGTTCTAGCCTCGCTCCAGAAGCCACCTTTCTGCCTCGGGCTTCTGCCGTTACCTTGGATACATCTTGCCTGCATAATGGAAACTGTCACCTTCCTCTGATACGTCCTACCTACTTTGCTGAAATGGCTAACCTCCTGAAACATTTCTCTGCTTCAAAGCTTTTTATGGTCACCCTGTCTACAGTCCTGTTCCTGGTAGTGTAGCTTTCAAGGCTGGTTTGTGGACACTAAGTGTTCTGCTTGTTTACTGCTGTGTGCAAACCACTCCAGACTGAATACCCTACAGCATGAGCGGTCACTTTCAATTACCTTTCGCGGTTCTGGGCTCGAAGGGGCTCTGCTAGGTGGATTTTGCTTGTGCTCTTCCCGGCCGTTATGGTCAGACGGGGGCTGGCCCCCGGAGCCGTCTGAAGGCTTCCTCATTCACACGTCTGGTGGCTGATGCTGTCTGCCGGGACACTTCCACGTGGCCTTCCCATGTGGCCCGGACTTTCTCAGGGTGAGGCAGCTGGATTCCATGGGTGAGCGTGTCAAGAGAGGGAGCTGAGCAGAAGCCATATTATTGCCTTTTCTGTCCTCGCCCTGGAAGTCCCACAGCATCAGAGGAAGACATCCGTGTTGTCTCCAGTGTCTGATGATATGGAATACAGCCGTTATAAACAATGATATGTAAGTTTTTGTGTAAGGACAAGTTTTTATTTCTCTTGGTTGAGTACGTAGGATTGAGACTGCTGGGTCTTATGCTAAGTGTATGTTAAACGTAGGCACTGTAGGACTGTTTTCTACCTCGACTGTGCTATTTGCATTCCTCTCAGCAACGTATGAGGGTTTCAGTTGCTCGGCATCCTTGCCAGCCCTTGTTAGTTTTGTTTTTTTGTTTTTGTTTTTTTTTTTAATTTTAGCAGTTCAGTAAGTTTGTAGTGGCATCTCCTTTTGGCTTTAAGTTGCATTTCCTTAATGGCTAATAATTTCAAACATCCCTTTTTTTTTTTAAAGATCTGTTTTTTTTTTAAAGACTTATTTATTTATTTGAGAGAGAGAGTGAGCACACAGAGGGAGAGGGAGAAGCAGACTCCCCACTGAGCAGGGAGCCCGATTCGGGGCTCCATCCCAGGATCCTGGGATCATGACCTGAGCCAAAGGCAGGCACTTAACCGACTGAGCCACCCAGGCGCCCCTCAAATATCTTTTTATGTATTTCTTTGCCATTGATATATCTTATCTGATGAACTGTCTTGTTTAGATCTTTTGCCTGTTTTTAAAAATTGGGTGGTTTCTTATTACTGACCTCCAAGAGCCAGCATTTACCTCAGCACGGGGCTTGTCTTTCCCTTCTCTTAACAGATCTTTGGCAGAGCAAAGATGTTTGATTTAGGTGAAGTCCTGTTTATCCGTTTTCCCCTTTTATGGATCATGCTTTTGGCGTCAGATCTAAAAACTCTTTGACTAAGCCATTCCTTGCTCTGTTGACCATTTCTTCTCCTAGGTTCTCTACCTCTAGCTGTGCAGTTTGCTCCGCCTTTTCAGGGTGTTTGTAATTCGTATGTAGAGACCATGCTGCCCCACCCCCTGTGTTAGCGCAAAGCCTGGTTCTGTTAATGATGTGCTCTTCACTTCCTGCAGACGACTTCATTATGACAAAAGCCAGCTGTACTCCAAATCAGGTGACAGGCTAGAACACATAATAAAGAGGTTCTGAAGTGTAGTAGCTGCTTGACATTTAAATTGACAGAAGGAGAGAAGCTGAGAATGCTTTGTCCTAGTTCCTGAATGGAGAAGTACAGGGGAACACTCTTGGACTAAGCGTGTGAGAAGCCGGCATTTGCCCCCAGAGAAGCAACAAACTGTCACCAGATCCCAGGGAGAGCGACAGGTGTTCACTCTTGCACGTGGTCGGGGGCGGGGAGGGGGAGCGATAAAGGGAGTGAAGAGCGTCAAACCACCGTGGCAAGAGTTGCTGTTCGTGGTCCTAATCTGAAATCTAAAACTTAAGCAAAATTGATAAAGAGGCTGTTCGGTAGGGCAGGGGTCCTGTGGAACGAGGTGACTGAGACCAGTAATTCCTTTGCATTGTTTTTCTCCCCTACCTGTGGGACTCCTTTCTCCCATTTATTTATTTATTTAAGATTTTATTTATTTATTTGTGTGAGAGAGAGAGCACAAGCAGGGGGAGAAGCAGAGAGAGAGGGAGAAGCTGACTCAACTGCTCAGCAAGGAACGCGACACAGGACTCGAACCCAGGACCCCGGGATCATGACCCAAGCCGAAGGCAGATGCTTAAACGATTGAGCCACCCAGGCGCCCCTCCTTTCTGCTTTTTAAAGCATGTCTGATGAAGCTATCCATGTAGTTGAACTAGATGGTCTGTGTAGTTTGCCCGCCATGGGGCCTGGGACCCAGAAGCTATGAAATAATGTGAATTTCACGTCTCTTTCCACCTCTGCCTTTCTTTTCTATTTCAGTAAAAATTTGAGTATTTGCTGTGTGTCCTGCCATGCGGGTGAAACTGATATGGTCTCACTGAAGCCAGACAACCGAAATAGAGTTGGTTTTCAAAGAACTTACAACCTGGGAAGGGGCAGGGAAGACAGATGTTGAATACCAACTATTATCCAAGGCGGAGTAGAATTAATGCTAAATAGAGATGCAAACAGGGTGCTGGCTGGGGTGACCCAGGGGACTCTGAGAGGAGAGGATGTGTGATGTACACATCGCAGGATGCTTGGATTCTCATAGCCGAACATAGCAGTAAAAGATACTTCTGACTGTGACGTTGTCTGGTATGTTTGATGCATAGTAAACTGTCTGCTTTTTGGCCTGAGCATGAGTGAGGGGCATGTTGTGGCAGGTCAGGCTGGATAAATAGAGTGCAGACAGGTCTCTGCTGCACGTAGCCGCCCTGCATGGCTGAAGAGTGTGTGTGAAGCACAAGGCAAAAACACACCTGGGCTAGCTCATGTGTGTGATCAGTACAAGGAACTACAAGAAAGTACCAGAGGGTTGTAGGATGCTTGCTAAGCATCGGGGATCCATTCAGCGTCACTTATCTGCAAGGCTAGATAGTGTCCTTGCTTGCAATATAAACTCCTCAACTAGAGAACACAGTTGACTCTTAACAGTGGGAGGATGGGGGCCGGGGCAATGATCTCCCCTCACAGTCAAAAATCCAAGTATAGCCTTTGACTCCCGAAAAATGTTAAGTACTCATAGCCTCATGTTGACCAGAAGCTTTACCGATAACATAAACACATAACACACACTTTGCATGTTATGTCTATGTATTATATACTCTGTTCTCACAATAAAGTAAGCTTAGAGGAAAGAAAACGTTATTGAGGAAATCATAAGGAAGAGAAAATACATTTAGAGTCCTGTACTTTTTTATTAAAAAGAAATCCATGCAATTCCTGTATATGACATTCTTGATGGTCAAAGAAATCAGACTCGTCAACATAGAAGGAGAAGTACGGTTTCTCCTAAAGCAAGGTTCCCTGAACAAATGCTGCTACCAGGGATATAGACATTAGGGGCCCTAGAGGTAGTTTAAATTCAGCTTTTCGGAATTCTGCTTCCATCATACTGAAGGTCTGTCCCAGAGAATTGTTGTCTCGTGGTTGAAGTAGTTTTAGTGGGGTGTTGTGTTTGTAAATAAAAGGAGCTAACAAGTGAACTTGGATGTCGTGGGTTGAGAATAAAGCGCCAATAAGGCTCTGGTAAGAGGGCTTTCAATGGATGTTGTTATTTCTGCCTCTAGGGACCTAATCCCCATCATTGCTGCTCTGGAATACAATCAGTGGTTCACAAAGCTATCTTCCAAGGATCTGAAGCTGGTAAGTAAGTGAAGATGTTGCAAATGTTGCTTACTTCTGCTGAGTTTCAAAAGCCTGATAATTATCAAAAAACATTTGTTTTTCTACTAATCTGGCGAGCTGTGTACATGCTTTTTTCTTGAGGAGATGTATTTTCCTGTAAATGATCTGCACACCATTTTACCAAGTTGGGAATGTGAGATGCTCCAGGGAAGTACTTCCTCGTGTTTTCAGCTGCTTCAGACAATTTTAGATAATGAACAGAGAGACACATTTAGCAGAGCCTTCAGTACATACTCATGCTGATGGCAAAAACTATTAAAGTTACATTTGCACAGCTGCAAATAGCAGACTTAATGTTTCTATCCTGCATTCCATCTCCACAAAGCTTCCCTTCCTAAGAATTTGGGAAAACGTTATCAGGTAGAGTTGGTCTGCTGGAGTGATGATAGTTAACATTCATTTTCTAGAGGAGTTTTTGGGCAGATTTATATGTCAGCAAAATGAAATCAAAAGTGAGGTGTTAGTTTTCATAAGGTATGGGGGAGCCAAATTTTTGGTCTCTTTTACTAGGGGAAGTGAGATGCTCTGTTGGGGAATATTTTTGCAAGTTAAGAGCAGCCGTATGGGCAGACACTTATCCATACGTTAGCTTTCTGCTACTTCATTTTAGGACAGGAAATAATCTATAGGTTGTTTTATTGGCGACTCTGCATTCAAGCCTCCAACTTTCAGAGGTCATGGAAACTGGAGGCATAACGATTTTCATAGTGAAGAGGTAGGCTTTTGATGGAGACAATGGATCTGTAGAAAATGGAGGGTTGAGATTTGCTAGTGGACAGGCTGCTGGTTCTCTGAATTTGCCTGGGGTGTGAGCGGCTTAAGGTATTAGTATGGGCACGGACTGAGCTCATCTGGGGCCCACTAAGAGCCAGTGTGGTATAGGAAAGAGTGTGGGCTTGGAAACGGAAACCTGGGTCTCAGATTCTGGCTCCTATGGCAAGGCTGTGGGACCTTAGGGAAGTTACTTGACATCCCAGGGCCTCAACTTCCTCTTGTTGAGAGTTAATTGGAGTTCATGTCTTATTCATCTCTGTCCAGTGCTTAGCAGAGTATATTGGCTCATGATAGCTATTCCATAAAAATTGGTTTAATAAATAGGTGTCAGATTAGTTTGTTGAATGAATGAATGGACATAGCAGTTTAGCTAATCTGCAGGTTATTGAGATGAGGGAATCATGCGTATAGAAATGCTAACACAGTCCTGGATATCTTGTAGGCATTTCCTGCTAACTATTCCTCTTATATCATCACAGACTAGCAAAGAGGCTGAGAAATGAGCAAGTGTGGGGATGCGAGTTATGGAAACTGTATCAGCTACACAGGGGGAGGATCTGCACTCAGTGAGGATGGAGCTAGGCATGGAGGGGAGCCAGGTGAACTCCCAGGGTATGGACAGGATGCCATGATGGGAGGGAGACCCGGCAACAGAAGCCTCCCACTTGCTGCCGTTTGCAGGACTGAGCCTGCAGAGATGACAGGCGGGAGAGGGGAGCCATTCGAGGGATGAGAAGTAGATTAGCTCAGTGACTGTGGGACCAGGGAGAACAACGCTTCTCTACCAAGTCAGTTTACCTGGCTATAAGTTCCTGACTTTCAAAATGGGGCACAGGACTGCTCTGCAGAGGGGCTGCATATCCCACTTTTGGAAATTGTGCCAACTCACGATTACAGGAATGTGTCCGGGCCATGGGGGCTGCCCTTCTATCATTGTTTCTCATGGCATGATCTCTGCAGTTGCCTTAGGTGTTTAGGCAAGAAATTATGCGCCTCATCATTCAGTTCTGGAACACAAAGCATGTAGGTGCTCAGATGCTTCCTTGGATGTCCTGGGATGAAAGGAAGCGTAGTGACAGGATTTGAGGGCTGCCCTTACTGCTTTCCTAGTAACTAGGATTTAAGCACAAAAATACCTATGTGTATATTTTTAATATTTGGTATTTTAAAATGAAGAATAGTCTTTGGGATATCACTCTTCAGTCTTCAAAAAGAATAGCAGTTTTTCATGTTTTTCACCCAACGTTAAAAAGAACTGATACTTGCCCCTTTGATGGGGATGGCAAGATGCAACCTCGGAACCTTTTCTGATACTCAGTTTATCGGAGCACTACTCTAATGGTCATATGTTACTTGCCATCTAGGTTTGGGGGTGTGTGTATCTCTTTACAAATTTCATCACTATAATATTCTTCAGTGTAGAAAACAATTCTTTTCATGTACTTAGGCACTTAATAAAAAGTAGCAAAATTAACGTAGACATGAATGACGTGTTATACCTCTCCCCCTACAAACATTTTAAACAAAAGGGTGGACATACTTTTTGTACATTTTCTGTAATTTTTATTACAGTAATTATACCCCATAGGTAAATGAAAGTCCTGCTTTGGGAAATTGTTTTTCTGGATACTCTGTAAGGTAGCTCTGGAAAGATAAGGATATACTATGGATTGTTTTTGGAAATTAGGATAATCCCTGTAAAAACATTGTCTAAGCAGTGACTTTTTGTCATGCCAGCAGAGAGTAAGATCAATACCCCTGGTTGTATATTATAAGACAAGAATTACACTGATAAGGGGGTCACCGTTTTGAAAATCACCACCATCAGCGTAATGTGAATTGCAGGCATTGGGTCAATTGGAATTAATTTTCCTCTTCCTTCATCAGTCTGTGGGACACATCAGAAACTCTGGGACTCTGTGAAAGCTACATTGTAGACTGAATGAAATGGGACAGCACATGAGAATCACAAGTGCCTTAGATGCTGTGGGACTTGTGTGTTTCCAAGTTTGGTTTTCTAAAGGATATTCACTAGCAAATTTTTGTTACATTTCAGACTGTTGCAGTGATGGCTAATCCAGTTGAATATATGTGATCTGATAAATCAAAGAATTGTAATTTTTTTGTGGTATTTTAGGAAAAGAAACTGCTTTGATTATAGCATGCCATGGGTACACACAATTTTCTCCTTCCCTCCCTCCCTCCCTTCCTTCCTTCCTTCCTCCCGTCCTTCCTTCCTGCATTTTTCTTTCTTTCCTTTCCTTTCTCTTTCTCTTTCCCTTTCTTTCTTTCTCTCTCTCTCTCTTCTTCCCTCCCTCCCTTCCTTCCTTCCTCCCTTCCTTCCCTCCTTCCTGCATTTTTCTTTCCTTTCCTTTCTCTTTCTCTTTCCCTTTCTTTCTTTCTTTCTCTCTCTCTCTTCTTCCCTCCCTCCCTCCCTTCCTTCTTTCTATATCATAAAGGATTTAAATAGACCCTAAGTTGTGATTAGATTTTAAAATCACTTTTTCATGTAGAAGTAATTTTAAAATCAGGAGCCACCTTAAATTAGTTTTGGGATAAGGCAGAAACATAAATTAAAAAACATTAATATGTAAAATTTAAAAAAAAATTTGTACACTTCCGCCACCAGGGTACAACTCTTCATTTTTCCTAGCACCCTCAAGACTTGCACTAGATACATCAGCCATTTCAATTGTGATCTTTATTAAACACTTCATTTTAGTTTTGCATTTTCATATAATATTATATCCTAAGCACTTAAAATATTTTGACAGATACAACTTTACAACTACTTAATTTTAAAAAACATAATGTTTATTAACATGAGAGAGCACTTACTGAATTCTTATTGGGTTGTTTCCCCCTTTATTTTAGAGAATACTAGCAGGAACATCGTAATAGTTTTTTATGTATGTATTTATTTATCAGACAGAGTGAGAGAGCACAAGCAGGGGGCAGAGGGAGAGGGAGAAGCAGGCTCCCCACTGAGCAGGGAGCCCGATGTGGGGATGTGGGGCTCGATCCCAGGACCCTGGGATCATGACCTGAGCTGAAGGCAGACGCTTAACGACTGAGCCACCCAGGCGCCCCTAAGGAACGTCATAATAGTTAACGTTTACCAAGTGCTTATTCAGCCACCCTTTTAAAGTACCTGACATCTTTGAACCTTAACTTTCTTATCTATAAAAAGGGAATAATAATACCTAGCAGTTTTATGATAAAATACACACAAAGGGCTTAGCTTGGGGCCTAGCGCAAGACAAGAGCTCAGCAAAGGGATTGTCACCAGGAACCTAACATCGTTACCAACACTAAGTCTTTTGCTCTTACGCTGGAGGTCACATGCTTTGGGAATTCCTTTTGGTTTTCCCAAGATTGGGATATGCCTCTGAGTGCCGACAGCACTACTGAAATGGCCTTTTATTGTCTGTTTTCTTGTCTCAGTGACCTGCTGGATGGTATACTCTTAAAGGCAGGGACTTTCTGTCCTTGCTTGTCGTTGTATCCCCAGGACCTTCATTGTGACCGTGCATAGTGGTAGAGGTCTGGTCAGGTTTTGTTGAATGAATGACTGCATGAAAATGTGGTTTATTTAATTAAAACTTTGCATCTGCATGGATTTGTGACAACAGAGTGAGGTTGCCTTGAGACTTAGGGCGTGGTCACACAGTGTCTTCTCTTACAGTCCACCGATGTCTGTGAACAGATCTTGAGAGTGGTGAGTAGGTCCAGTCGGCTGGAGGAATTGGTGTTGGAAAACGCCGGGCTCAGAACGTGAGTATTGTCCTGAATGTACGAATATGTGGCTTAAAAGCTTCCTGCCATTTCCTCTAAAATTAATATATAGGTTTTTTTTTAAAAAAAGATTGAGCCACTCACATATAAAGTATAATGTTTTCTCTTTGAAAAAATAAATAAATAAAGGATCCCTGTGCTCCCCATCATCACAAAGATCAAGGATTTTATAACAACCTCTGTGGTCTGGTCACTGGATGTTTTCAAGGGAGCCCAGAGTGGTGGTTAGGACAGTGGGTCCTGAGCCAGATGCCTCATGGCCTTGGGCGAATTGCTGCACTTCTGAGCCTCACTCTCTTTATCTTTAAGATGGAGAACACAATAGCACCTACCTTATAGAATGATGGCTGCGAGGAGAAGTAAATTAATATATGTAAAATCCTTAGAAAAGTAGCTTTCATATTATAGATGCTCTGTGTTAGCTCTTAGGAATATCATTCATGGTAGTCCTGATAATAACATATTTCCCATTTTGCTTGGATCTGTTTTATCTGTTTCTCTCTCTTTCCAAATCCATACTTAACCTTGTTCAGTAGTTGGGAATGGCTCGGTAGGCAGTGCCCAAGCCTCACGTGGAGTTCGAATCTGCCAGAACAAAGACTTTACTGCTCCTAAGTGAGGGGGGTTGACGGCTTCATAATCATAGCACTTAGTGTGTTATTTTAAGTACAACATACCTAAAATAGTGACTTTGAATTTTTGTTAAAACATAATGGTAGCAATCGTAGCCTTTAAACTCAATAATTAGGGCAATCAGTTTTGCATCTGTGAGTATTGCATGAAGTGAGATAGGGTGAACAGCCGATTGCCGTTTCCATGAGAAGCAGGTTCAATTCAGGACTTTTTTTAAGTTATGGAGGGACTAAGTAATACTATTTTAAAGGGGCAATTATATATTTTCTTTCTGCTTTTGAATGAGGTTTTGGCTAATGAAAATGAACCACGTTTTGGCTGTGGCTTTACAGATTCTCTAATGAGGATATATACTCGTGTATATAGGCTAAATAGGGTGTTAACGAATGTATGGTAAGTAGATTAATATTGTAAAGAAAGGTTTTCTTTTTATAGATTTCACTCTAGCTCTTCTAGCTGTCAAACTTTTATTTGAGCAGTATTGCATTTTGTGTTATTTAATCTTACTGTTTTGTTTACTTGCAGAGATTTTGCCCAAAAACTGGCCAGTGCCCTAGCGCATAATCCCAACTCAGGACTCCACACAATTAACCTTGCTGGCAACCCACTGGAGGATCGAGGTACTGTAGCAATTCATGTGATCACTGAGGCCAGAATTGTAAGAGCATTCGGCAATTTTTGTGCGGCCACACCCAGAGAATGGTGTCAAGCTCACTTCTAATTGTTTAATAAATGCTACTGATGCTTAGTTGGCTTCTAGGTTTTTCTACCCTTTGATGAAAATACTGGTGCTAAAATTCATTCTCTGATTACTTTTTTTGAAGAGATACAAACAGAAGGGAGTATATTATCTTTAAACTGCTGTATTAGTTTTTTATGACTGCATAACAAATTACCGCCCACAGGGCACGAATGTGTTACTGGACAGTTTCCTTGGGTCGGTAGTCTGGGTGCAGGTTCGCTGGGCTGTCTACTCAGAGTCTCTCGAGGCTGAAGTCAGGTTGTCAGCTGTGGCTGTGGTCACGTGTGTTCAAGCTTGCCAGTTGTTGGCAGAATGAATGTCCTTGGGTCTGTAGGACAGAGGTCCCCATATTCTCGCTGCCTCTCATCGGGGACCACTCCCAGCACCCGGTCTGTGCTCAGCTCCTTACGACATGGCCTCTCCTCTCACTGTGTCCCAGTTTGCTTTGTGCTTGAGGCAGTAAGGAGCATGTCTCTTGGATGCTTATCTCTCTTTTAAATAGAGCACCTGATTAGGTCAGGCCCACCCAGGACAGTCTCCCCTTTCGATGAACTCAAAGTCAACTAAATAGTAGCCCAGTCCCATTAGCGATGTGTCATATGGTCGTCAGTCTGCCCCACACACTCAAGGAAATTATACAGGGCATGTGTACCGGGGGAAGGGATCTTGGGGATCATGTTACTATTCTGTGCACCACATGTATCTTTTAATATTTAACAAGATTTGAACATGAGGATCTGGAGAAAATGAAGCACTGGAGTTCACGATGAGGCAGAAGAAGGTTTCGTTGGAAGTGTTTGTGTGGGCAGAGGGCGGAGTCAGTAGGTTTAGAATGTGAAGCTTAAACATTTGAATTCTCAGTAGGGGAACATTGGTGGATGTGGCTTAAGAAGAAATAGCTTTATCTCTAGAGGGAATATTTTGTTTTCATTATCTGTTGCAAATGTTTTCTAGCATTGTTGAATAAAAGCCTTTCATCTTGTAATGTTATATATTTGATGAGGATTAATTATTAAACTGAGCTGAAGGTACTGATAGAGACAGTTCTGCTTTGTGTTCCTGACAGAGACAATGTTCTTCATTGAAAAGGGTACCCACCCGTGTGGTATTCAAACCAAAAATAAAGAGCAATTTCCTAGCATATAAAGTAGTGAATCTAAAGGAAGTTGGAGACTGAATTAGAAAACTAGATCACATGAAAATCATCCTCATGGAATCAGCCACAGCTGAAAATCATGGATGCATATCCCTGAAATAGGAGTTTCTTTGGGGGTATAGGAATTTCTTTAGGAAAAACTCATGTTGTCTCTATTAGCCAACTGCTAGAAAGTGATGAATATGACACATGGAAATATACATGGAGATCACCTTTTATAGACAGGACAGCAGTTTCTGCTTTGCTTTTTAAAATGGGAGGGACCCAAACATATTCATCTACTGACTGGACAGAGTCAGTGGAGGGAGGGAGGTGATGGAGGCAGATCCTTAAGGATGTAAACCCAGAGTGCAGTAGGCCAGGGGGTGGGAAACGCAAACTCACACCGCAGTGAAATACCGCTTCAGAACCAGCACGGCTCTGATCAAAGTCAGTGTTGGAGAGGACGTGGGAAATGGGGACACATGCTTTACTGGGGCGAATGTAAAATGGTGCTGCCACTTTGCAGACTGGTTAGACAGTTTCTTAAAAAGCCAAACACAAATTGGGGTGCTTGGGTGGTGCAGTCGGTGAAGCGTCCGACTCTTGGTTTTGGCTCAGCTCGTGGTCTCGGGGTTGTAGGGTCAAGCCCCGAGTTGGGCTCTGTGCTCTGTGCGGAGTCTGCTTCAGACAGTCTCTCCCTCTCCCTCTGCCCCTCCTTATCCCCCTACCCCCGCATGTGCGCGCATGCTCTCTCTCTCTCTCAAATAAATAAATCTTAAAAAAAAAATAAAGCTAAACACAGATTTGCCGCAAACCCAGCAGTTCCACTCCTAGGTATCACTGAAGAGAGGTGGAGCCTACGTTCACACACAGATGTGTGAATGAATGTTTATAGCAGGAGTCTTCCTAGTAGCCAAACCGTGGAAACCCAACTGTGGAGGCAGATGAAGGGCTGATCCACGCTACGACGCGGTGGGACTTCAGAAACCTTGTGGCAGGTGAAAGAAGCTGGACCTGAAAGACCACACAGTTTGAGTTTGGGAGCTTGGAAGGAAGTGTGAGGCCCTTTGTCTCCTCATCTGTTGTGAACCTCGTGTGCTCTGAGGGGCAGCCGTACTAGACCCTCAGACCCTCGTCTTTGGTTTAAACTTCTTTGCTGGTTCTTGCTTCGTTCTGGTGCATTCTAATTAGATGCGGACATTTCTCCTCCACCCGCTTCCTTTTTGTCCCTGCTCCTTGTCCCTCTTCCCCCCCAGCCTCCTCAGACCTTGGACATAATCAGTATTTCCTTTGAGTTTGATTTCATCTTAATTCTCTTCTGTAGCTTTTTAATTGCATTGAACATCGTGGCAAAGTTTAGAGAGATTTCTTTTCTGTCAGAGCATGGCCTCAAAGAGGATGTTTCCAGGCTTTCGTTCCCCACATTCCTACCTCTGAGACCTGATTTGATGTCTTTTCATCTCCCTGCAGTCCATTCACAGGAGCTAAAATCCCAGATCATTCCAAGGATATTTTCCTCAACATTGTGTGCACATACCAACTCTCCGATACGGTGTCTGCTCACATACACTCAGTTTTTGACACTCCTGAAAATGTTTTCTCAAGCTGAGACTTTCCTTGTTCCAGCCCCTCCTAGATTCATTCACTGATATATTTGCCAGTGTTCTTGGACAACTGCCAACACCCATATTTCCTACCTTCGCTCTTGAGGCTGAGCCTCCTGAACACAAATTCTGTATAGGTTTTATTTATTTAAAAAAAGTTTTTTTTTTGGGTGCCTGGGTGGCTCAGTCATTAAGCGTCTGCCTTCGGCTCAGGTCATGATCCCAGGGTCCTGGGATCGAGTCCCACATCGGGCTCCCTG